CCTGGTCTACAGTAGCTAGATATTTACTTGCCGGCCCAAAGGCCATGGATTCAAATTAAGGTTGATTTTTATAACTTTTCCCCGTCTTACAGTAAACTCTAAGAGAAAATAATGATTGTTGGTCCACTTCTGAAATGAAGTTTTGTTCCAGAACTTGACTTTTGTATGCACATCCGGTTAATAGATCTGGCTTATTTGTTTGCAGACTGTTGGTTCCTCACTTGGATTAGTAAAACTAACCTAGGTTTCCTAGGTCAATCCAGCTTAAAGTTGGGTTGAATTCAGTTGAGCCAAGAATTGACATCACAGCACGTGGAGCATTTTCATGCACGCTGCGTCCTTATCTTCAGCAGCCAGCACAGAGTTCCAATACTAATGGTATCGGTTGTGGTCTGGTTTTATGTAGGAACAGGCAGATGGCAGGATGTTGACTACATCACTCATTTGTTCGGTAAAATTTGTGTCTAGCACAAAATTCTCTATGCATCAATGGCGTGAAAATAGTCCAACAAATAAAACCTCAGACAGTAGAAGGAGACGGTGAGCATTCTGAGTCATATTCATTAAAATATAAAACTTGGGACACATGACAACTGGTCAAAGTATCAGAACAATAAGACAGAGGAAGGCAGCAAAAAAGATGTGTTAGGAATATTATATTGTTGTATTAAAAGACATAAGCACATAAAGTGATGCCCATTACCACAGAAGAGAGGCTGTGGGGAAGTAGGAATGCTTACACTAGCTGGTAGGTAAGGCACTGAATGAAAGTTTAGAAATGACAAGTATCAGCAATGATAACAGTTTCACATTTCATGAATTGTTTAGCCTGCAATGAGTTGACTGGTGAAACATGGTATAAATGATTATACATTTTCAAGAAAATACCCCCCAAAAAAAAGTATGTAAATGAGACAGATGAATATTAAGTGTAAAAAACAATCTTATAAATATGAGCAAATATGTTTTCAGGTTGAGCTGCCTTCAGAAAAAGGCTGACAAAATGTAAAATCAACACCAAACATAAAAAAGTTTTTATCAATTCTTATAAATAATGCCTGTATTTCTGTCAGCATTTCTGCAGTTTACCATTCCCATCGTCTGTAACTCATTTCATTTACAGGCAGCATGTGATAGACTTTAATAAATTACTGTGTTAAGTAACACATTTTTCATGGAAACACACACACACACAAAAACAAATAACGTCAGCGGTTGTCAGTAGTGTAAATGGCACATTTTAGGTCTGTCCCTCAGCAATGCAAGAGGTGTATTACCAATGTAAGTAACAAACACAGTTGAAGATCCACCGCAGTCGCCCTTCAGTGTTGAACTGGCACCTACTTGCTTAACTGGAAACTGTCCTTTAAAAGTAACAAAGTTATTTTTTTATCTCCTCTTTCTCTTTTTCAGCTATCTGAGCCCGTGAAGTTTATTTTGCAGATATCACTTCTGCCTACATTCATCTCAGTGACTGGTTTTCTCTGTCCAGTTGGTCACTCCAAGTGTTTCTAGGTCTGCCTGTATATAATCACTTCACTGTCCTCTAGATTTGTCTTGTCTTGTGATTTACAGCCATCAACTCTTCTATGTACATTCTCTCTATTTATCTCAACCATCACATTCTATTATCCACCATGATGTTTCAAAGTCACATAAGACAATCTTCAGCTATATAAATTATTAACAGCAAACAGCAGCAACAATAATTAAAAAAAGCAAATAATGTAATGATAATTTTTCACATACAAATTACATAGCAAAACTGATTCTTCTCACAGTTTATACAATGTTGTAGTCTTCACTATAAACATCCCTTCATATAAAGTAGGCATGTATATAAAGTATCTCAAATGCAGTTTATACACTTTTATAATCTATTTAACATATTTTACACATCTTTACAAACTCTCTCAACATGTAGGTGATACATTTGTATAAACTTTCTATCATCTGTGGACTAGACATACACATGTGGGATGCAATTTTTTTGTTATTTGAAGCCCCACCCTGGCTTCTCCTGGGGGCCCTGAATATAGCCAGGGCATAGATATGGCCTAGCATATTTGTGTTGACTTGAGAATCACAGCCTGTGGTGATGGTGAAAGTGACTAGCAAGACTTGCTGGCACTGAGAAAAGTCTTCCACAGTTGGAGCATTTGATTTCAGAACACCATTGTTGCCATTGCGTTGCACTTGGAGCTTCTTCCCAGGCACCAAGCTCTTAACCTATGCACAGTCATTTTTAACTTCACACAGTCTATACAACTAAAGCTCACACAAAATTGATGTAATTTGTTTCATTCCTAGGAACTATCATTAAAAAAATGAGCAAAAGAGAGAAAGATAGAGAGAATAACAGCTATGAATAACAATCATGATCACATGACATTCTAGAGGACCTTGTGCACATGGTAAATGGAAGTGGGTGCCAGACAAGTCAGTTTCTGACTAAACACCAAAAGTAACATTTTATACCATGGTTCAAGTCCACAAGGAAAGAAACAATCCCACATCATGTGCTATTTAGCAATTTTATAAATTAAAAACAAAAAATCCTTGTGATTTACACAACTAATATACTTTCTGCAATTATATATATTCCTGCAATTCTGTACACTCTTGCAGTTTAATACAACAATCTAATACAGTAAGGTACACCAGGGTAGCACTTTGTGCAGCCATTGGGATGGCCTAACTATAACTTCTTAGAAAGCTGAATAAGGTATCTGGGCTTGGTGTGGTATCAAACTTTTAGATAGCAGCTAGAAGTAAAAAACATCACATGCACCAGATACAGCTTTACACACTTTCTCAATAATGTTTATATAAACCTGCCAAACACTTAACATACAAGAAGACTATAAATCTATTTTATATACATTTTTCACAGTACTGGTGATAAATTACAAAAATATCTCTTTTGTTTTAAGGTAGCAAAATATAATTCTGTCATTTAAAATGAAAAAGCCTTAACTCACGGAGTTATAGTTTCACTTTTTGAATTTATCATCGTCTGCCATAATGGTACACAAGCTAATGTAGTTGACTAGAGACGACAAACATCACAGTCACTGATTGGTCAGTATGCTGTTTGGTGAAGCCAAAAAGTTGTGTGCCCACCCCCCACCCCTCCCCCCCAAAAAAAAAACACTAATTGAACAAACTTATTTTTAGGAGCAAATTTCATATTCTGACTGATAATAATAATCTGGGAGTCCCTGTGGAGGAGCGGCTAGATGATCGGAAGGTTGTGGGTTCGCTCCCTGGCGGAGCCTTACTTTAAAAAAAAAAATGACCTTGGCTCTCAGGTCAACCTAGCCTTGAGTGGGTACGGGGTGCAGTACCGCGACGTAAAGGCGGCCAGCGTGATGTTGACCACATCACCCATCTTGTGCCGATTAGTCTATAAAAATATAGGTCTAGCCCTATATGCCCTATACGCCTAACGGCTTGGAAAAAGGTACTTTACTTTCACTTTAATAATAATCTTAGGATTCCTGCTGCAGATCCACTTATAGTTGAACGTTGCAACCACATATCAACACATAGACTGCTTCACCACATGTCAACACATAGACTGCTTGCAGAAATGGAACAGGAGTCATGTTTTATTTAATCTCAACCAGTAGGGTCTCAACTACTCAAGCCATGATCAGTGGAGTTTGATAAATTTGTTGCAATGTTGCTGCTACTTCAATAGACCTAGAGTGTTCATATGTATAAACTGTCATGTTTTCTAAGAAAATTGCCCCACTCAGTAATGCTCAATCAATACCCATTTTGAACAAAGCAAACTAAAGTAGGCCATTTGCTGCTCTATGGAAAAAAAAAAAAGCATGAGTGTTACAACTTCCTGCCCCAAGGCTAGTGTCTGCTGGGAAGGTTGTCTGGAGCACAGCAGAGGATTACAGGTCACTTGACTAAACATTCTTTATGCTGGTTCATGCTGGGGGTCTCATAGTGAAGTGGTCAAGCTGTTTGCCTCGCGCTTTGAAGGTCGTGGGTGCGTTTCACGGCTCCACATTTCAGTTCACAAGTGCAATTTTTACGGAGATCCCTGAGGATTGTCACCAGAGCTATGGGGTTCATACTCTGCACAGCGCTCTTAGCAGCCAGCTAGCTGTTTTGCGGAGAGAGACTGAGCAGTGTGGGATAAAACCCGGTGCAGTAAAGTCGATCCTCTCGACTTTTATCCAACATATTTAGACAACTGATTCAACGTTTTGAGGCAACTGATTCAACATTTTGAGACAGTTTATTCAACATTTGAGACAACTGATTCAACATTTGAGAAAACTGATTCAACATTTTGAGACAGTTGATTCAACATTTGAGACAACTGATTCAACATTTGATTCAACATACTGAGATAGTTGATTCAACATTTTGAGACAGTTTATTTAACATTTTGAGAAATTTATTTAATATTTTGAGACAACTGATGCAAAATTTAAAGACAGTTAATTCAACATTATTAGACAACTATTTTCAACATATGTTTGTGTCTTAATACAACTGTTTTCAACATTTTGATCCTACTGTGATCAACATTTAAATGCAATTATTTTCAACATTTTTATCTTAACTATAATCAAAATTTAATACTTTACACATTAACAGTTTAATTCTATTTTATCTACAAGACTTCCAAGCATGTTCTAATATTCTCAGGCAGTAATTTTATAAGCTAGAAACTAGAAATTGTCATTTTCCACACCTAATATCATTATATGTTGAGCAGGACTGTAGCAGTTGTTGCAGGGAATGTGCCACAGTTATAGAGATCTGTTGTTCCAATTTTCTGGCCACTATGCATTTTTAGTTTTTAAACTACACACTCCATCTGGTAACTGTAGAGGCACAATCCTGGAAACTGTCAGTGCTTCACCCTGATAGCCATCTCTAGAAATGTGCATCGGTTGAGCAAAGACATTAGATATGTTCAGTTTGCTTGTACTGTATGCAGTCAGCAAACATCAGTAGCTTATGTGATGAACTTCAAAGTTGTCATAAATCTTGACCAGTTCATCTAATGTGTACTGATTTAGTACAACAAAATTCTCCAGTTTAGAGCTGACCTTGCGAGCACAGTCCTGGCAATGGACCAGGAAATGACCATCACTCTTGGTTACAAACAGGATGTTGAAGACTTCCACCTGCAGAGATAAGTCAATAGATAGAGTTGAAAGATGGTGACTGTGGTTGAGTTGCCAACAACTGAACACGAGAAACAATGAATATAAGCTTTGATGGAACTAATGTAAAGAACAACCACCAAAAGTTTGACACAGAATAAATAATATGTTACATTAAAAAAATGAAATCATCTGATATAGAAACTAAAACAGTAACATGCTACATTAAAGATAAATTCTGATGACATGGAATTAATAACTTGCAAAATAATTTTTCTAAATATATATAATAATGCTAAAACAGGTGACAGCGTGGTGGTTGTGGAATTATTGTTGAGAATCACTGTTTAAATAGCACAAGTAATAAATCAAGAAAGTTAGATGAGCAAAGTGTCAGCTTTAAATAAACACAATAAAAAGTGATAAAACAATATTATAACTAAAACACTTTCATCAGCATGCAAAAACAAAAATAAACAAACACTAATATAACCACAGTTGTATACTATTTAAAGAAAACAAAACCAGCCATATTCATGAAAATAAGCTGTTTCAAATATGACAATACATAAGAATCAGGATATATAGATGCATATAAGAGCTACATAACTGACCTCACACTCCTCACAATAGTGGGCTGCTTCACCTGGGGCTCGCCCATGCCACTTGACCTCCTTTTCCAGGCTGTCCACTAAATCAAGGGTCATCTGTACCTGACAAAGTGAGTACATCAGTGTTTTTCTGTAAGAGAAAGGAAAGAACGAAATGTAATTGAGATTTTGAAGTGTGGAAATACTGATGTGCTAGCTCCTTCTTTCTTTCTAGGCAGAGATATCTCTGGCTTCCACTGGGGCTGAATGACATGCATATGGTTGATCTGGATGGAACTGATGGGATACACCATATGGAGATGGCTTGGACATTGTTTATGTCACAGCTCTCAGGTAATCGTCAATGAAACTACCAGAGAAGTCTAACCAGCTTCATAAATGGCAGGAAAAAAGGAGGGCTTTGCCAGCTGCAAGATTTTGTTGTTTGAAGCTGAATGGATTAACTTTATTTCACTGCATGATATCCCACATGGCTGTGTCTCTCTCCGGAGAACCACCAGCCATCTGATACAAATATCACATAAAGCAAGAAATCGGTAGTTCCAGTTATCTTCTTCTTCGCGTTCACCAGCTGTAAACTCTGGCGGAAGGTTCTGGTTGCTCGTCCACTACTGAAGTGCAGTCCTGCTCCAGAACCTGAGTGTTGCGTGTGCATCAGTTTTACAGATCTCATTCTCTTGAATACAGACTGTTGGTTCCTTGCCTCTCCGGCAGATGCACTCCGACTTCAAAGGAAGCTCCCCAATTAGTCGACTCTTACGACATGCTTTTGGGGAGGCAGTGGGTCTATTCTTGTTTTCCCCACAATGGGGCCCCGGAACCCACACGGGGGAGTTCCAGTTATGATTCCACGGGATCTCTGTAAAACTGCATTTGTTAGCGGATCAATGCAGTCCAGGAAACAAATCGATGACACTGCTGTAAAACAGGAACTGTGTAATTATTTCTAGTATAAGGAAAATATAATCTATGAAACAAGAAGAAACATATCAACATAATAACATGAACAAAAGATATCTGGACATTCTCTTCTTTTTGTTCACATTCACCAGTTGTAAACTCTGATGGAAAGTTCTGGTTGTATGTCCATTTTTACACTTTGTTTTTTATTCAAGAACTTGAGTTTTGCATGTACATATGCTTTTTACAGATATGGCTTACTTTTATGAATAGGTTTGCTTCCTTGCCTCTCAGGTCGATGCACTCTGACTTCAAAGGAACACTCCTAATTAGTCCACTTTTATTACATGCCTGTCAGGGGGCCAGTAGGCCTTTTTTTCCCCCCATGATGGGGTCCCAGAACCTAGTGGGGATCTTGGCATTCAAGAGCTGAAGATGGCCGTGTCATGTCAGGTTACTCAGACCAAAGACTCATAAACTGTGTTATTTTAAACATGTCACTTCACCATAGCTTTACATTTGCAGTTCATCATTATCATCCTGTCGCACTGTTTATGTATAATGCCATTGTTTTCTCCATTCTCTTCTGTGCAAACTTTTTAAAACAGTGTATAGAATCCAGTCTGATACCTCTGAAATCCCTCATCTACATCTGCCATAGGATTTATCTTTAATGTGCTTGTTTTTGTGTTTTTTTTTCTTCCAATTTATTTCCTGTTTAAGAGCCTTTTTAAAAAAGTTTGTTATAATTTAAGAAATGTATTTGCTTTGTTTCCTTGCTTTCTCCCTACAAATAACAAATGTTCAAGCTGGAAATATTTTAATGGGTTGGCTTTTCTCATTTTTAATAGGGGAAGCCAGTCAATAAATACAGAAAGTATAGTTTTCTCTGACTGAAATTTAATAAATAACAAATAACATAGCAAAATTAAAATATCAGATTACAAATACATACCTGATTTCAGTGTAAAGTTTGTGGTCTGAAATGTGAGCATTCTGAGCCAAATTCCATGACAGAGTCACCATCGGCACAATAGACTTGTAACTCTGCGTCTTGTTGTACTCACAGCGTTCCAGCCCGAGGATGTACTGCTGGTGTGTCATGGGACCAACGTTCCAGGCAATGTTGTTACACCAGCCCTGGGGAGGAACATTTGGATATATTGCATTAACAAAATTCTATCAAACCAAAGATAATAACAATAACTATAACAATAATTAGAATCATCATCATGAGAATAATACAAATCCTTGGACAGGAAAGGTGGAGAAGCTAGTGAAGGAGTGAATTTCTTTCAGGCAGATTGGGATATAAAGGACCAGCTGCATAATCTTTATATTCACAGTTGTAACGATAATATGAATACAAAAGACAAAGTAGAAAAACAAGAGAAGACAAAGAATGTGTAAAAGGAAGAGAAGGATGTGATGATGATCTGAAAGAAAGTGTTGATGAATCCTTTCAATTAAGAATATTGGAGTGGAAAACCAAGTATGAAAAGGATAACAGATAATGACGGTTGTGAGGTGTAGCTAACTTGTACAAAACTGAGACAATCAGTATTTAAACACTTATAAATTTGCTGGGACAGACATAGAACTTATGAGCTTGTTCTGAGTGCAGCTTCATCAATTTGTGTCACCTGCATCAAATCAGTAATAATAATGTCATAAAGAGGAAACTTAGAATGAATCAAAGGAAGAGGAATGAGGATAAGAAGTAGGCTACATACATATAAGCTTCTCATTGGAAAACAAAAGTAGCCAATTATTAACAATAAAATAAGCATGCAAGACAACAGCTTATTATACATAACATAATAAATAACTGATAATGTGAAGAACTCACAATTGCCTGCACCCAGTGAACAGTCCCAGGCCCGATCCAAACCAGGTCACCAGGTTTCTGGATAAACCGATACACTGGGACATCTGCCTCATACAGATCCTCCAAGATGGGCCACCAAGACCCGTGTAGGTAGTTGACCCCATTTCTACAAAAGAAACAAAATTCACAAGAAATGAAGGATCTTTCTAAAAACTGGAAAGCAACACACAAGCAGAGCTGTTGTTAAACAGTTCTTAGCACACTGGCATGCCAGCATATTTGTATGAAGTTCAACCCTCATCTATGAATTTAGCGTAGCATGTATTTTTCACTGAAGGGAAGGGAAATGGTCACTTAACCTTACTTGCATCTTTAAAGAAGTGTCTAACATGGGATAGATTTTAAAAATGTTTAATAACCATTGTTTAGCACCATATTATGCATCACATAATTATTTTTCATATCTTGACATTTCAGGAATCATTCAATTATTTTTCATATCATGTCATCATTTTTCATGTGCCATAATTTTATGCATCATACAATCTTTTTTTTTCACATCACATCATCATTTTGTATGTATAATTTCATTCATCATATAATCACTTTTCAGATCACATCATTATTTCATATGTACCATCATTTCACGCAGGAGATAATTATTTCTTATTTTACATCATCATTTCAGGCTTCATATAATCACATCTGCATTTTACAGATTACATAATCAATATATACTTCATTTAATCTCTCACTTCACACATTATATCATCATTTTCACAATTATTATCAATATTTTTCAGCAGCTCATTTTTATACTGTTACACACACACTGTTACACACACACACACAAAAAGAGGTTATGACAGATGAATAAACAGTTTTTTTTTTTTTTTAATAACAGTGTGTCCCAACTGTGGACACAATTTTGTTATTGTTTCAAAGTTCCACCCTGGCTGTTGGCAGGGGCCCTAATATAACCTAAACTATGGGTTGAACGTGGTTTCTAGGACCTGTCTCCTGGTGATACCTATCCAAATGATTGCACTTTTTGTTACTGGGTGTTTAACACTTGGAGTGATGTTCTGGTGGGGTTAAATGTCAGTCAGCCAGCTTGTTTTTTTGTTTTTTTTTATTAAACGGAAATATAAATATTTGATGTGACTAGAGACACAGCATTTTACTCATGTGTGCTTTTTTAATGATTCATATTAAGAAGATAGAGACAGAATAGATTCAACAAAAAGAGGCAGGGCAAGAAGATGATTCAGGATACAACAGTAAGTAGACAACACTCAAAAGACTACAAGAACTTCAGGTCAGAATAGCTGTCGCCAAACATGAACACTTTACAGGTAGCCAAAGAAGAATAGTAAACAAACACAGAACTGGTGTTATCAGTGGCCACATGCTCAGGGATATACTCAAGATGGGATCCGAGCACTTTTGCACATGTTTGTTGTGCAATGAGGATAATCTGTCCATGAACTGACTTTAAATATATAGAATGCTTGTCAGCACGCAATGTGTTCAAATTCCTTTTGAAGTGAAAGTTTTTTTCCCACTGACCTGCATAACAGGAAATTTCCTGGGAAGTAAAACAGGCTGGTGTGACGTTAAACCCATCATCCACTGAGTGCAAACTGGTCTAAAAATGTGGCTAAACCACACCAACCACTCAATTCACTTCAGTGTGGAGAGAGGAAAGGAGTCCTTTGCTTTACATTTATTTACCACACACACATGTGTGCATGTATACACACACTCACACATAAGCATCACTCATGGATGTGAATGTAAGCACAAACATTCACTCACACCTGGTTGCATGAATGCATGCACACTGACGTACGCACACATGATACATGATGCATTATCATGGTTATGTTGCACCCAGCAAGACTAAGAAACACCAGTGCTTACCTCTGACACAACTGCTGTATCACTCCCCAATATTGCTCAGACACTGAAAACCACTCACAGTCTCCAGGTCCGATGTTGATGTTCACTGAGCAGAAGTTGTTGTTCTCCTGATGACCTGTTTAAAATACAATAAATATCATTATTTAATCTAAATATAATTTAATGCATGAGGCTCTGGCATGAGCAAACATGCAGGAGTGTGCAGATGTGCTTCTGTATTTATTCTTTTTTTTTTTTGTTTATCACTTACGTTTTTTTTTAAAATGTTTTTTAATGTCAGCTGTGTGTCCTTTTGGTGAATTTGGTGCATTTAATTGAAAATCTTTATCATGAACAACAAGCAGCCATCAGAGCGGCTGGTGAAACATCAGATTGGTTCAAAGTGCAAAAGGGAGTGAGGCAGGGGTGCATTCTCTTACCATACCTATTCAATATATACGCAGAAAATATAATAAAAATGTCAAAAATGACCAGACTTGTGGCAGTTGTGATACACTCAAAATTGTTGTCAACCCTATTCCAGAACTTCGCTATGCAGAGGATACAGTCCTCCTCTTGAACAGTGTAAAGAGAAGAGAAAATTAAATATTGTCTGTCCAAAAGCACAGTAAGATCCAAATCTGTTCTCGAATTTTAAGAAAAAGAAAATAATGTCCACAGATAAAACTGGCTGTCACCCAAAAAATGTTAAAATGATGAAGAAATTGAAAATGTCACAAACTTTGAATATCTATGCTTTATAATAAATATCAATGGAGACCGTTTGGCAGAAATTAAAAGGAGGATGGCCATATCAATGAAAAGATTAAACATTATTAAAAGTTTATGGTTAAGCACGAGCAAGGAGATCAATATTAAGAATTTTGAGAGCATGCATCTTCCTGTAGCAACATATGGATGTGAGTTGTGGACTATTTCCCAGTCCTTAAGAAAGAGAATAGGGACTTTTGAGCTGAAAGCTAAAGAAAGAATCTCAGAATATCTTGGACAAAAAAGAGGAGAAATACTGACATCTTGAAAGATCTGAACATCAAGAAAGATTGACTAACAGCATCCTGTCTCGGAAGCTGAAATATTTTGGTCATATCAAGCCCCAAAATGGATTGGGCAAAAAATAATAGCAGAGGAACAGGGGCCGACCAACACGAAGATGGGTACAGGATATAAGTGATTCCTTGAGTATGAAAGTACATGAGGCGGGAGAGCTGGCATGAGACCGAGTTTCTTTCAGGCAGACCGTGATGAGAGCGACATTATGCAAAGGACCTGCTACATGATGATGTTGATGTGTGTCCTTTACAGGTGTTGCAGAACCAACCATAGCAATTTTTGGCTGTTTTTGTTTATTTTAAATTCAATTTTATGTTCTGTAGTCTAAGATTCTATTCTGAGCAGTCAACTCTCAATACCATTGTTGAAACAATGCTAGGAGGTCTGCTGCCTAATTGCCAGCTTGGATTATAAGGGCATTTGCACGGCCTAAGCCACAGATGACGACTATATACACTTATACCTACTAGCTAAATGAGTACTGAGTGGTCTATATATATATATATTTTTTTTTAATGCATCTAGCGTCAAATGCCCGATGTACCACTGGCATAAATAAAGGAGTCCTTTACTTTTACTTTTACCCCCTATTTGTTAATAGCCAAAAGTTACATAATTTTGTAGGATGTTTTCCCGCAAATTTACAGAATCTCAGATAAATATATCAGTGTTCCAGATAATTGCTATATTAATCTCACAAGACAATTAATTATTTCAGGACATTTTATCCCAGACAGAGGCTATTTTTGCTCACTCAGTACTCCATCCTAACAAGTTAATACATTAACTCATGATGTCCCATTATTGTTTTCTTCTTCCCAGAAGTATATTTCTATACTGTATAATATACTGGTGCCTCATTCAAATAGGACAGCAAAGTACACTTGAAGTAGTTACAGGGTGTCCAATTATAACTGTTTCACAGACTGAGAGGGATATCTGTTGGACTGACTTTTGAAATGTGGCTGGACGAGTCACAGCGGTATCAAATCATTAGGTAGCAGCCCTGGGAAAAGGGGGAAAAAGGGGGGGGGGGGGGACATCGAGGTCAACAGTTTTCCTTGTGAGCCAGACAAGTGCAATATTAAAACAAGCAACAACAAAGAGCAGCAACTGTTAAATGAAAGCTTCAAGACAACTGGTCTTACCTGGAGTCCTGGACCCTGGGACTTTCATATACAACTGCACGGTGTTCATGCCCAGGATGGTGTGACCCACATGGCTCAGCATGTTGGCGTCAGAGACCACTCGACAGAATGGTGGAAGTTTGGTGAGTTCATGAAGTTGCGTCTGCCATTTTCTTTCATCTGACAAGTCAACATTTGTTCCAAATTTGATCATCTTAAATCGCTTTCTGCAAATAAAAAAAAATCATATATAAACATATAGTCAACAGTTTGACAATCTAATCTATAATCAGCTAAATGTTACATAAATATTTCTATAATCATGACCAACAAAAAGGAGAACCCCATCCCATGCTACCATGTGCTAGGCCGATGTTTTAAAAATTAAACGGCATGAGTTAAGTACTGTAACATTATCACTCTGGTTGCCTTACCTCGCATAAAATCATCCAGCGCTAACAGTTTGAGAAGTTTCAAAGCAGCCTTTTGTCATGGCATAAAAGCATGAATGGCTTGAGCTGATATAAGCAGCTGTAGATTACAAGTTGTTGAGAGACATAATAGCTCACAGAAGGCATGAAAAAAGGGTCCTTTACTTTTACTTAATAAATTAGGCTGGGTCAAACCTGAAGCCACATGGTCATGACAAAAGGTTCAGTTTGACAGAGCTTTTAACTATTTGCATTCTAGAAAGTCAAAGTTGATGCCCCAGAGAGTCAAATGTGATAATCAACAAAATAATGGGCATACTACATACACAGGGCCCAAATAGACATCTCTCTTGGCAGATAAATGTGTTGTTGAGTGTTTTAGCATGCCCCATCTTAACATAAAATGTACCAGCATAATAACAGGTTAACTGGTGCATATGAGTAAATCTAGACACAGACTGTGCATTGTTTGGGACTGAAACAATTACACTAGAACCACTGGGTTAGCAAAATTAAACAGAGAAAACTTGTTCCAATACCAGACAACTCAGCAAAAGTAATCATAGAAAACAATCAACATGAACTCTTTTAATCATCAGACAACTAACCATAATTTAATGACGACTCAATATATCATATTTTCAACATGTATAACTCTCAGCTTCTTCTAGCTTACACTACTGTTAATTAATCCATTCTATCAAAGTTGTACATTAGCATGTTCTATCAAATAGTGTTATTTTTTTTATCAAGCAACTTAAATCTGGCCAACGCTCAAAACTCAAGGAAAATGTGAGACGGATATACAATCAGACATTTGCTGGAACCATCAGAATTGGAACTCTTCGCTTGCTGTTGAAGATTGGGGGGAAGGGGGGGGGGGGATTATAGGAATGTTCCAAGTGCTGTGATTCCTAATTCAACATTCTACATAGGCAAGTTAAAATTAGTCAGACTGTGATGATAAAACACAATGAAATTGTTGACAAAAAAATCAGCAGCCTAGCACTGAAGAGCTGATGATAAGACACAATGAAATAGTAGAAAACACAAACAGCTGCCTAGCATTGAATAGCTGATGATAAGACACAATGAAATAGTAGAAAACACAAACAGCTGCCTAGCACTGAAGAGCTGATGATAAGACACAATGAAATAGTAGAAAACACAAACAGCTGCCTAGCACTGAAGAGCTGATGATAAGACACAATGAAATAGTAGAAAACACAAACAGCTGCCTAGCACTGAAGAGCTGATGATAAGACACAATGAAATAGTAGAAAACACAAACAGCTGCCTAGTATTGAAGAGTTGATGAAAATACACAATGAAATTGTAGAAAACAAAATCAGCTGCCTTGCACTGAAGAGTTGATAATAAGACATGAGGAAATTGTAGAAAACAAAAACAGTTGTCTAACACTGAAGAGTTGATAATAAGACATGATGAAATTGTAGAAAACACAAACAGGTGCCTAGCACTGAAGAGTTGATAATAAGACACAATGAAATTGTAGAAAACAAAAAACAGCTGCCTAGCACTGAAGAGTTGATGATAAGACACGATGAAATTGTAGAAAACACAAACAGCTGTCTAGCACTGAAGAGTTGATAATAAGACACAATGAAATTGTAGAAAACACAAACAGCTGCCTAGCACTGAAGAGTTGATAATAAGACACAATGAAATTGTAGAAAACAAAAAACAGCTGCCTAGCACTGAAGAGTTGATAATAAGACACAATGAAATTGTAGAAAATAAAAACAGCTGCCTAGCACTGAGGAGTTGATGATAAGACACAAAGAAAAAAACAAATGAGTCATACCTCTTGGATGTCAAGGATGATGCTGAGTCACTTTGTGATTCTTTGTTCACTTCTCTATTTTTATCCTGCTCTTCCTGGATAATGTAAAGAAAAACACTATTTTCATGTGATTTGTTACCGTAGAATATTTACATTTGTTTTAATTATTGATTATTCTGGTGCTTGAATTGTGGTCACGTCCTTAGGTCTTAATGACAAACAGTTAATGTTATTAAGTGCACAGTGAAAAGTTGAAGAAGTTGTAGTAACACACCACACCATATATCACTAGGTGAAGAAGCAGTAGCAGCAGTAGTAATAGCAGCAGTAGCTTTAGTAGTGGTAGCAGAAGCAGTAAAAGTAATAACAGTCACAGCCACAGCAGTAATACTAATATTATAATTAACAATTATTACACACCCCAACACACATGTACGTATATGCAGGTGTTCACATATACATACAGTTTATAATAATTATGTAAACTGCATAATAATTTTCCATGCTGTTTCTTCAGCTATACAAGATCTCCATGTGACCCACCCATCCTGGACTATGAGTTATTTCACTACAATTTTGTGGTGCCCCTGTATAATTTTGCTATATGGCTATTCAGTTGAACAGGCTTTCCTAAATTTGTATCTGTTTGATTCTTATCCTTGAGGTGTTATTCATACAGACTGTAATCCTGCAGGGAAAATTGTTTTTAAAAATAGATCTACTATCTTGTAGAAGGACATGAATTTAACATGGGAGACTACTAAGACAGATTATGTACTGAATTTGATACTTTAATTCTTCCTGATCTTGCAATGTTCACACACCATCCATCTCTCTGTCCCTGGTCTTACCTTCAGTGACTCCTGGAATGAAGAGGCTTGGTACTGAGCATACTTAGTCACCGTGGTTACTCCCTTTGTGCTATCACAATACCACAGACATTTCCCTGTTGAATCAACATTCTCATCTGGAGCCTGTTGTTTCTGATAAACAGAATGCAGAAAGATATATTTTTATTCTCAAAGAGACTTAACTGTTGTTTCTGATAAACAGAATGCAGAAAGATATATTTTTATTCTCAAAGAGACTTAACTGTTGTTTCTGATAAACAGAATGCAGAAAGATATATTTTTATTCTCAAAGAGACTAAATATTCCACATTATCTCTCTTTCTTTGATGAAAAAAAATGTAAGGACATACAGGATCTGTTGCTACTGTTAATCTTACATGAAGTCAGGTGTATAGTCTTCAGTTGCCAGACCACCTATGTATCTCTTATCCTACTCAAAGGCATGATGATAAAAGAAGACCTTATAGTCTTGTGAATTGCACACATACAGATGTAGTATCCTATTTAAATTTTAGCCATGTTAGCAAAAACAGATTTAGCAATGTTACATCAACACAAAGAACACTGACAGTTTAAAAACTGACACTTTGAAAATGATTTGTTTCTACTTATCTGCTGAATTAATTTCTCATAACTATCATACATACAGATTACCATATAGCAAGTCATAACATTTCCAGAAAACTAAAATGACACTTACATAGCCTTACAATTTTGTTTTTAATACATGATTGCTAGAGAAGGACGGAGCCTAAAGACAGTGGTTGATGTCTGTGAGGCAGTCGCAGCTGTCAAAGATCAGTTTTATTTGATTGCTAGGGCGTGCAGATGTGTAAAGGAATAACCAAGCTATTAGACTTGCAAGTAAGGCTACTGTAGAAGGAGGGTCAGGATGGTATTCTGAATGCTTTGTGAGAAGTAAATGTGATACTATGAATCTGCACCTATGATCAGACTACAAGAACAGGAAGTTAAACGGGGTGAGGCCATACAAGAGCACTATGCAGGAAGCCACAAAAAAAGAACTGACCTACACAGAAATGGTGTCATCTGTGATAAAGCATGGACATACAGGTGACAGATTTCAAATCACTTTATCTTACCTGTGTACGTACTTCTACTGGGTGGTCAGGATTAGCTTCAACAAGAGACTTTGTAGAAAACAGACCCAAGTCTGAAATTAGGATGTAGAAAAATATATCATAAAATGAGTGATAAACGAACTCAATGTCAGACTATTAATTACAATGCTCAGACACCTTTTAAAGCTGTCTTGACTATTTTACATGAGTTTTTAGTCTGCATCAGCTTTCCATGATCCCTTCACCTCAGTATGGGCAGATCACAGCTTTAAGGTCTTTTATTGTGTTTTAAATGTGGTCATCTTAATTATCCTTTTATTGCAGAGTTTTTTTTTGCGTTTTTTTTTTTTTTGGTTCTTTTAAAAAAAAATGGAAATCTTCCTCTTCTCAAAGTTAGTTCAATATCTTAATCTGTATAAAATCATTATGTATAATTCAGAGACCCACACACACACACACACACATACACTTATACACATGCACACACACATGTGCACATGCATGTACACGTGTGTGTGCATGCGCATAGAGACACACATAGTGACAGTGATCAGTCAGAGAAACCTGTGGTTTTTCCCACAAATAACAACAGACAACAGATATAACAGACAAGAAAAGTAAAACAAGAGACAAACCTAGCTTGAGAGCACTAGCAATTCCTCGTATAACTACCACAGGCTGCTGCTGACAAAACTGTTGAAGCTGAACAGAGTAGGCATCTTTCTTGTTATCAACCTGAGGAAAGTAACACAGTCAAAGATAACTTCACATGAGGTTTCATTGAAATCCTTATTCATCAAGCAGATGCACATGAGGTATCACTGAAATCATTATTCACCAAGCAGATCCACATGAAGTATCACTTACTTAAATCATTATTCACCAAGCAGATGCAGAGCCAGAATCCAGCCCTTCTTATTTTATTGATTTATGAAGGCTGTCATTGGCAGGTCACTGCAATTACTGCCTGTAGTGAACACTGTTTGCAGAGTTGTCTGGGAGGCAGGAAAGCTGTCACATGGACTGTGCAGGTTAGCATTTCCTTTTTCCCCCAGACAGAAAAAAACTTGACCTTACTGAGGATTTGAACCTGGGTTTCCCAATGAGAACCCAGTGTTCTTAACCATTCATCCAACTGCACCAAAAGCATATGGCACAACTGTTTAAAAGAATAACAGCTACCCACAACATAATATTCGCAACATATAAATAGCATGTGAAAATGTGAAAGGCAATTAGAAACCACCACATTCATAAAAAAAATTATTTTTAAAAATGTCAAACCAGAATTTCAGGTAAATTACTCAACATGAAATTGATCAACTTATTACAAGCAAATGATTACACATTAATTCTTCACACATCAGAGATTCCTTAATCTATATATCACACATTTACTACTCAATACATAACTGTTTAAATCGAAGAAAAAAATATGTAAAACAGAAAATAATAAATGAACTATATTCTGCATCTATTTGTACAAATGAAAAGAAAGTGAAGGAATGCATTATCTATGATGTGCAAATAACCTAACCAAAACAGCCAAGATGAAAACCATGAAAACATGTAGATCAACAAATGAATTCTTTTAAAAACACACACACACACAAATATACACTTACATAAACACTTGGGGTAGGTGGGTTCAGCGAGTTCTTTGGCAGAGAAGGACAAGGTGCTTGTGGTGGCTGTGATGAGGTTGGGTTGTCTCCAAGGATGCTGATAAGTTTTTTATGTACAACTCCCTTTCCTCGAGTGTAATCAATGATCTGGGAGGCACACATGCTAATACTGAGAGGCACATGAACTGTTGACCTGACTTCTTTCTGTGAGGGTGATGTGTTGACTGTGCTACGCTTCAGAATAAGGCCAAGTTCTTTTGTGGCTGCAACTGTAAAGATGTCTCCTGAATATGTTTTATCACTGTCATCAATTTCATCATTTTCACCACTTTCATAATCATCTTCCTCATCACTTAAACTGTTGCTGGTATTGTGAGGTGAGTTTAAGTAAGAGAAGGAGTGTGAAGAAACAGATGTGTAAACTGGCTGTGGTAGACCACGTTGGATTTCTTGATCCTGGAATGTGCCGCTGTTGCTGGTAATGCTGTTAGTGGTATCTGCAATCTCCAAAGAGGAACTGTGACCAAGGCTGGAATGTTTGCTTCCCTGAGAATTATCAACTAATAACAATGATGGATGACTGTGAGAACATGCTGTAGGGCTGCTTCTGGTGGTGGGTAGAAGATCATTGTTCTTGTTGGTTGTGAGTGATGTAACTGGAGATCCTAGAAAATCAACAAAGTGAACTGCATTTTTGGTCAGGGAAATCTGCTGGGATGTGAGCTGGTGATTCTTGTCCAGCGAGTTTGTGAAGCTTGGCTGTAGGAGAGTTCTGTGTCTTTTAATGGTTCTTGGATGTGAGAGTGATAATAACATGCTGGTAGTTGTTGCTACTAACAAGGCAGACTGGTCGAGGGATGGGCAAGTGGTCACACCTGCAATCACAGTTAAAGTAGGAGAGGATAAATTGATGTTATGACATTTATTTTTTACAACTGAAGTGAAAAAAAACATATTTTCCATTCATTTTTTTCTCCTGCCACCCACACTTGAACAAACAAAAAGCAAATGTACGGGACGGGTGGATGCTTGGGGGAGGGGAGTGTATTGTATAAGGCAAACCAGAGGAGAGAGGAGAGGGGGATATGCAAACAGAGAGGGTAGAAGAGTGAGTAGAAAAACCAACAGATAGGCAGGCAGGCAGGTAGATAGAGGTAAGGAAAAAGTGGATTCAGTAAGCAAACTGGCTAGCATGTGGGAGTGGTGGAGGAGGAAGAGAATGGACAGAGAGAGATAGAAAGAAAGCACGGCAGGTGGTCATAGGCAGATGACATACATATAACTTACTTTGTGACCTCTGCATGCCTTGTGGTGGACATGTATAAGGCAGGAGCTGCTGAGGCTGTTGTGTATTCATGCCTGCAGCAACTGTACTCAGTATCTTGACCTTCAGCTGATCCCGGTGAGGCTGCAGCTCAGTCCAGGCTTGGGCTTGATGTGAAGAGACTCCCAATGCCTCACTATGTGGCTGAAATATAATAGATTCATTTCTCACTTTATATACACATAAACAAATCCATCGCCTAAGCCATCTGAGAAACGTAAGACAAATACAGGAGACCACAACACTCGGCTACAATGTGGTATCAGTGAAACGACAAAACCACAACACTGGGCTACAATGTGGTATCAGTGAAACGACAAAACCACAACACTGGGCTACAATGTGGTATCAGTGAAACGACAAAACCACAACACTGGGCTACAATGTGGTATCAGAGAAACGACAAAACCACAACACTCGGCTACAATGTGGTATCAGAGAAACGACAAAACCACAACACTGGGCTACAATGTGGTATCAGTGAGACGACAAAACCACAACACTCGGCTACAATGCAGTGACACAAAACCACAAACACTGTGTGGTATCAGTGAAACGACAAAACCACAACACTGGGCTACAATGTGGTATCAGTGAAACGACAAAACCACAACACTGGGCTACAATGTGGTATCAGTGAAACGACAAAACCACAACACTGGGCTACAATGTGGTATCAGTGAAACGACAAAACCACAACACTGGGCTACAATGTGGTATCAGTGAGAACGACAAAACCACAACACTCGGCTACAATGTGGTATCAGTGAGACGACAGAACCACAACAATGGTCTACAACGTGGTGTCAGTTAGATGACAAAAGAAGAAGAAGATGATGTACACGTTGATTTAAAAATTATATTATAAATAATACTAAAAACACAATCAATCACACATGTTTTACAAACAATTTGTGTTTTAAATTATGAACAAATTCACACAAGTAATACTAATTATTATGAGTACTAGCATCAGTTTAACAAATAATAATTATTATATTAGAATAAATACTATTCTTTTGTTGACATCAAAGCAATTTGAAAATACTGGAAGATAGGCTATGGAAATGAATGTACTTTGACGGCAGACACCGGAAGAGAGAGATTAATATAAAGGGCAAGACAGTGGGAAATACTACGGACATCAAAAGACAGTAGGAGATGGCAGTGGAAGGAGACAGTGGAAGTTGGTTACAGTCAAGGAAAGACAGTGGCAATGGCTACAGACACTGAAAGACAATTTGAGATGGGTACAGACATTGGAGTTGGCTCTGTGGCTAAGTCGATGCGAACGCTTCGTAATGCCGGGATGCCAGGTTCGATCCCAGCTGCGGACAATTTGCCTTGCGTTGGTTTCAACAGTGGTATCAAGAAAGCTGACCATCCAGAAAGCAACGGCAAACTACTGGACATAAATTTGCCTAGGAAAACCACAACAGCCAATAAATGCTGGATTTGTTTCTGCAATCCTGTAAAGGATATGCAACTAACAGACATTGGAAGACACTGGGAGATAGCTACAGACATTAGAAGACGGTTAACATTAAGTAATACAAGTCAAAGGATACTACAACAGACACCGAAAGAAAGACAGGGAGATAATTTTAGAAACTGAGGAATTCTGTCAGTGTACATACAGCGCCAACAGACAGTGTGTAGTACTTAAATAACAGTGGGAAATGCCAACAGTGTGAAACACCTGCAGACAATGTAACCAAGAGACACTGATTGTGAGAATCAACAATGATATGAAGTAGTAACATACAGTGTGAAAAACACCTACAGATAGTGCTTTTCATTAGCTACAGTATGAACACACAAGCCTGAAAACTAAAATACTTTAGACGCCAGAAAGACCACAGACAGAATATTATCTAAAAAGATCTACTCACCCTTTTCCTGTCTTTCTTCTTCCTTGTGTCTTCCCAGGAAGATGACTCCCTGTCATGACCGGGGTGTTCTGAAGCCTGACTCTCAATAGAGCCAGCCCTGTCGAACCGAGAAGTGAGTTCTGTAGACACTGGTAACTGCCAGGCTTCTTCAATGCTGGGTAAAATATGATGACACCTGGCAAAGAACAGAACATGTGATTACAAGAAACCATTCCCTTGTTCATCTTCATCTGTTATACTTGTGTGCAGTGTAAAACATTTATAATCACAGTCCCGTTTGATGGTTTTTGTGGCTTAGGACTTATGAACGCAGTAAGAAAGAGAATAGGAGCTGTTGAGCTGAAATGCTATAGAAAGATTTTCAGAATATCTTGGACAAAGAAGAGGAGAAAATTTGACATCTTGAAAGGTCTGAACATCAAGGAAGATTGGCTAATAAACAGCATCCTTTCTCGGAAACTGAAATATTTTGGTCATATCGAGCGCCACAACGGATTGGAAAAAATTATAGCAGAAGTCATGGTACTAGGAAGGAGGAGCAGGGGCCGACCGACACAAAGATGGGCACAGGATATAAGTGACTCCTTGAGTATGAAAGTACATGAGGCAGGAAAACTGGCAAGAGACCGAGTTTCTTTCAGGCAGACTGTGATGACAGCGACGTTCTGCAAAGTACTTGCTACATGATGATGATGACAGACACACATTATACTCAGGATGTCATTTATCATATCACTCAATGAGATGGTATCTCCTTAAGCAAAGCTGGCTGCAATAGATGTCCAAAAATCTATGTCTCTCATTCTGAAAGACTGCTGTCCATCTCTTCATATTAACTCCACATTTCTGTCACTGATTATCTCTTACTAGACCGCTTTTAACTTTTCTCTTTAGTGTGCTTTTTACTGAGTGCAATTCATTTCATTTGGACGGAGTGAATCATCTGTCTCTTTTCTAATATCCCATCATCTCTGTTTTCACTCCAAACTCCTCTAGGGTATTTAGATTTGCTTGCTGTTGCGTCCACAAAATACAGATTATTTTTTTGTATTCTGACATCTCTACAGCTTTCTGTTCACTGGCTAATTGCTTGCTTGATGATCATGTTTCTGCACCATAAAGTCCTATTGTATATTTGAACAAATATATGCATGATTGAATGGCCAGGTTATCTTTGTAACTCTTCTTTAAATCTGTCTTTAATTTTTTACTTCACTCATCATCGCAGTTCCCATCATCATCTTCACCATTATCATCATCCATCATCATCATCATCAGGAAGCAAATTTATTGCAGAACATTATTCTCATCGCAGCATTCCAGACAGCCAACTTGTCCCCTGCCGACTTTCACACCATGTGGACTTTCATGCCCTAGGTGTCCTTCACATCTCAGGTTGATTATCATGCTTCTTGACCACTATCTAGTTTTTCCGAAACGATATCCTCCATTACTATTATCCAAGTAGCATTATGGCATTGATATGGCCAAGTATTTTAGCTTATGGAAACAATACTATTTGTGAGTGACTTCCCCCTTGATATTCAGATGCTGAAGAATGCCAGTACATTTCCTCATCTAAGTTCATGAGGCTCTAAGAATATTCATGTTACATTAAGGTTCAAAAGCCCCAGATTCTTTCTTTGTTGTGTGTGTATATGTGTGAGTGAGTGAGAGAGAGGGAGACTGCAAAAAGTCTATGACTTGCATCATATACTTCAATCAGCCACACACAAATCACTAAACCATGCTATGAAACAAACTGATAGTCTCACTTGTTTTGGAAGTTAAGTGGCATCATTGTCAGCTTATGCTGGAGAAATCTGATTCTTGAGATCAAGGTCACATCAGAATCTGAAGACATCAAATTGAAAAGTAGGTCAGATATTAAAATATGAAGTGTTTTGAGTACACATGAGACTGGAGTGTTGATAGATATCAATATGAACATGACTGTTGTAGGCATGTTTATTTATGAAGGTAATAATGGTTGATTTATGTATGTTTGCTGGTGTGTATGCTTGTTGGTGTGTGCATTTTATATGAACAATTTATTACGTATACACAAACTAATAGGTATACATGTTGCCATTTTTGGTCCCAAGCCTGACAAGGCAAATGGCTGGGGTCGCTTCCCAACCCTGTAGAACAATTCTGATACAGAAACTCACAAGCTGCTGTCTACTCTTGCTAGTGGATATACAATTTATTTGATGGATGAATGAAAGAATCAAGAATCAACATCACTGCACTCGAGACATTCCCATATGTGCTCCATCCTGTCTTCCAGTAGACAGCAAAGAGTTTCAGCACTGATGATGTCATTTGCAACATCACTAACAGTTCACCTGTGGGTGCGAATTTGTCCAGGCTTTTTTTAAATTTCCAGTTATAGCTGAATCATCCTCTCCAGATTCAAATGCTATGTCTTTCTGATGCACTGTTTACTCAATCCCAGAGAGGCTTTACCATGTTTGCTTAGTAATAAAGTAGTTCACCACCCAGAGGAGCAGCAGAAGCTAATCCATCAGCTTTCTCATTACCACATACTCCTAAATGCCCTGGGCATTAAATACATGATAAGCATCTTATTTTAACTTTATTTAACAATGCAAGATATTCTGGTCCCACAACTTCAGTTTCTATTTTCTTAAGCTTGCTCTATGAGTCAGTTATAATTACAGAATGTTGGACTGCACTACGCTCTAGCCACCGGAAAACTATATTTGTTGTATCCACCACTATTCTCCTGCTAGATATTGTGATATTATATGTGAGCCTTTTTAGTTTTTAACAAATTATTAAAATGTCTATAAATGTTTGACACTACTGTGGGAGGGGCTTTCACTGACAGAAACAACAGGTGGATGCTAGAATTTACCTGAGCTTTTAGTAGCATTCAAGTAACAAATGAGTGCATCATGCAGCTGGTTGCATGTCTCATACAACAGGCCCAGCTCAACCCAGGCTGAAGGATGGGATGTGTCCAGGTGTAGGGCACAAATGTAAGCTTGGAGAGCATCCATGGGTTGGTTCTGTTGCTGGTAGAGCAACCTGGGGGTGAGAATAGGGCACACGTCATGTTACAGAGAAGTAGGAGACGATTAGTTAGGACGTGCAACTTTGGTATTACCAGAAATGTAGAGTTCAGAGTATAAGCAGATCTAGTGGTTATCCACCCAAATGATAGACAAATAAAAAATATGATGCTATGAACACCAGCATCTCTTTAGCACACACCAAGGTGTGAACCAGATGTTTCTTCAAAAAGGCAGAAC